CCCCACTCAGGTCCCCCCCAGGTCTCTCCCTCAGTGTCCCCCCACTCAGCCCCTCCAGGTCTCTCCCTCAGCATCTCCCCACTCAGATCTCCTCCAGGTCTCTCCCTCAGCATCCCCCAACTCAGGTCCCCCCAGGTCTCTCCCTCAGTGTCCCACCACTCAGCATCTCCCCACTCAGGTCCCCCCTCAGGTCTCCCTTCAGCATCTCCCCATTCAGGTCCCCTCCAGGTCTCTCCCTCAGTGTTTCCCCACTCATGTCCCCCCCACGTCTCCTCCTCAGCATCTCCCCACTCAGGTACCCCTCCATTTCTTTTCTTCAGTGACTCTCCATTCAGGTTCCCTCCCGCCAACAGGTGTCCTCCCTCAGCTTCTCTCCCCCAGGTTTCCTTTCAAGGTATCCCCCAAAGTAGCCTCCTCTGGCCTGTCCCCAGGTCTCCCCCACACAGTTATCCTCCCCAACTTTTCCCTCAGGTCTGCCCGCTCAGGTCTCCCCACTCCATGTTGTCAGTTTACAAAGCAGTGGGAACTCTTCTTCTCTGCTAAAGGACTATTCTACATACCTGAACAGGCTACATATTACTGTTGAAAAGGAGCTTTTGTGGTCTTAGATCTTGACATCAGCCACTTAGGTGTGGAAAAGTTACAGGCTGGACAGATGGGTGACGGTAGGCAAAGCTTATCTTCCAGTGTGACTTGGTCCAAGGACTGCAGGTGATGTCTCCAGCGGCCTGGTGGTGGCTCTGGATCATGATGAGGGACGGCATGATGGCAGGTTTGCAGGGGAGTGGGGAGCTGTGGCTTAGAGACAGAACTGGGCCTCGTTGGGGCACAGGAAGGGAGCTGTGATGTTTGGTACCCCTGCGAAGCCTGGTGACCCTGGTGACCCACATCCAGTCTGGCTCCACCACCGTCTGTGCCACGTCTGTGCTACTGGGTTTGTAGGTGGAGGCCAAAAGTGCCGCTCGACACCCACATGCCCAGGGTGGCACTACCATGGTCCTGTCTTGGTGAGTCCCTGAGTTCTGGCCTCAAGGCTACTTCTCATCCCTTACTGTTGGCTGTGTTCTCATGCATTCCTTCCTTGCCTCCCCAAGCCCCCTGGCCCGGGCCTGAATGGGATCTGGGGTGTGCAGATGGGAAAGTCTCACTTTCTGGGAACCCTTGTCTAACAGGTACAGTGCAGAATCTCGAGGACCCCAAGTAGGCCTTGGGCTAAGGTCTGTGGGACTGCACCTTGGGGAGGGGCCTTGTCAGGGCAGAATTTGATGGTACACTTCACCTCATCAGCACCCCAGAAAGGCACTTCTCAGGATCTTCCCACGGGACCCATTTAACTCAGAAGACAGAAACCCTGTGACTCCGCGTGGTGGATGGTATCAGAAGGCTCAGCGTCCTTCAGCAGGCTGTGTGCGCCACTGCCTGGTCCTCGCCGCTAGGTGGAGCCACAGGTGCACGTGAGCGCCACCCCGGATCCCCAGGCTCAGGACCCTTACACTCTCTAAACCATTTTTGAACTTCTGTTGTGTGGTGACGTATAGGGAAGGGTATTTACTACATTAGAAGCGAAAACAAAAAATATGGTGCATATATGTTTTTTTTTTTCCAAATCAACAGTAATAAAATTCACTGCACAGGAACACTTCCTCTTAAGGAAAAGCAACATTATTTTTCTAGAACAAATTTAGAGGCGTTGTCTTACATTTGTGCTGATCCTTCAAAGGAAGAGGCGCATTTTTCGCTCTGCTTTTGCGTTCAGTCCCTACCAACATCACCATTAGGTTTGTGCCCTTTAAAGAGAATGGGTGTGAAAGGCAGTTCTTAGCAGTCCCGTGATAGTCATGTCTGTCCTGCAGACCCCACACCCCAGCAACTAACCCAGGAAGCAGGCATGGCTGCCTCACGCCCTTATTGTTCTGTCTACATTGATTTGCTGTGTTTTGACTCTTTCTGTTAAAGATAAAGAGAGTCAGACATAAAATACTTAGGATGATTTTATGGGCAGAAATGAGCTTGCAACAGTCTGGTTTGTAATCAGGGTTACTCCGGACATTAAGGAGCTGCCCCTTTCAGTCCTGCTGAGGCCCAGGTTATTTGGGATTCCCAGAAGACACCGTCTCGAGAAACCCTGAGAGGAATTGCAGGTGAGTGGGGCTAATGTGGGATCTGGTCCCCAAATCCTGCAGAAACTCAGTGGGGGGACCGCACATACATCTGTATCAGGCAGGGACTTTGCAGATCAGTCATGAAGGGCAAGGGCCTTGTACCTTTTGGGGGCTGTGGAGATTCTGAGCTGGTATGATTATGGGGAGTCTTGGTACTTTCTAAAAATAATTAATAGACTTTTTTTTTTTAAGTAGGCTCCACACCCAATGTGGGGCTCTAACTCATGACCCTGAGATCAAGAGTTGCACACTCTACCAACTGAGCCAGCCAGGCGCCCCTAGACTTCCTTTTTTTTTTTTTTTTTGAGAGAGAAAATCTTAAGCAGGCTTCCTGCCCAGTGTGAGCCAACGTGGGGCTTGATCTCACGACCCTGAGATCACGACCTGAGGAGAAATCAAGAGTGAGACACTTAACCGACTGAGCCAGCCAGGCGCCCCTCTACTTAGGGCAGTTTTAGGTTTCCGAGAAAATAGGGCAGAAAGGACAGAGCTTCCACGTGCTTCTCTGCCTGCACAGCATGCCCCACTGATGACCTCTCGTGCCAGTGTGGTGTGCCTGTCACAGTAATGAGCTGGCGCTGACATGGGGTCATGTACTGAAGCTGGCGCTCTACCCCCACGTCCTGAGTTTTGCCTGGTGCCCTCTTTCTGTCCTGGGACCCAGTGGTGTTTGATCCTCCTGTCCCCCTGGACTCCTCTGAGTTGGGATAGTGGTGATAGTGTCTCCGGCTTTTCTTAGTTTTGATGGCCTTGACCATCTGAGATGTGTTGGTCAGGGATTTGGTAGGATCCTTGTCACTTGGGGTTTATGAGATGTTTCTCATCTCATCTCATATTGGGTGGGGAAACGGCGACCGCTTCTTGCACTGTGACCTTTCTGCAGGTCCCCCTTTTCTTCCCTGAGACAGAGAGGAGCTGGGGGGTGGGGAACAGAGGAGAGGGAAGGAGGGGGGCGGGGATGAGCATGTGACATTACTGCCTCTGGCCGGAGAAGCACGTGGTGTCCCAGAAGTGGCAACCACAAAGCAGGGCCAAGGGAAATGGGCGCCCAACATTCTTGAGCACCTGGTGAGAGCATCTGGCTGGGAACAGCTGTCTGGGAGAACGTAATGGGGAGCATCTGGTGAGAGCACCTGGTAGGAGTCCCTGTCTGGGAGCACCTGGCAGGGAGCTCTGCCACCTCTCTTTGGAGCCTCATCTCAGGGGGAGCTCCTCGTTTGCTGGTGGCTGGGCTCTGTCCAGGGAGCATGCGTTTTCCTGCCTCAGCCTGTCAGTCTCCAGGGATCCTCTGGGCACCCTGGCCCGCCTGCCATCTCCTTAGGTAAGCTAATGGGAACATGAATTCAGACCACCGTCTCCCACAATTTCCCTTTGGCTTTTCTGGAGGCTTAGTTGTGGCTGTGGGGGATTCTTAGGGCCTCGAGGTGCTACTTTTACGTGCTTTACCCCTTAGGACCCAGGTGAGGCTTTGAGGACCCCATTTCTGCTGGTGCAGAGGGCAAGTGGAGGGAAGCTTGGACTGGTAAAGGCAGCTCTGTTCCCAGCCCAGCGCTGGTTGTGGGTGACCCGCTTCTGCTGAGGACCGAGGCTCCGCAGGGAGCCGGTGGGGAGGGAAAGGGTATACGGGTGTGTGCACAGACCCGACAGAGTGGTGTGCTTTAGGAGCTTGGCAGGTGCTCTGGGTTGAATGGGTTGGGTTGGCCTGGATAGGGGGGAAGTCGCTGGAAGACCAGAACCCTTGGGCGCCCATTCTAAGACATCACCTTCACCTTCCTAGCACTTTGTTGGGGGAGCAGCCTGGAGCCCCATGGCCGTCTGGGTCCCACACTTGCTGCTCCTGGTGATACCTGGTTTGTGGTAAAGCCCATTTCCTGGTTTAAAGATGTGCATTTGATTCCACTCTCCACTGACACATTTTAGCTGAATGATGATCCGGCTCTTGGCTTTTAATGTTCTCAACGAGCCTCTAGACACGGTTTGATGGACAGCTTTACACACCTTTTCTGCAGGATCAATGACCAAGGCAGCCCTGGGTGGACCTGGCAGGATGTGACTGATGGTTCTAGCTGCCTTTGGTGAGAGTGTTTCTAGACCCTTCACCCATAGCTTCTTCTGGACCCTCTGCCTGTGTGTGCCCCTCACCCTGTGGACTTCCCAGTTGTGGTTTCCTCTAGCATTTATTTTTTTAAATTTTTAAAAAAGATTTAATTTATTTATTAGAGAGTAAGAGAGAGAGAAACAGTATGAAAGGGGAGAGGGTCAGAGGGAGAAGCAGGCTCCCCGCTGAGCAGGGAGCCCGATGTGGGGCTGGATCCTAGGACTCTGGGATCACGACCTGAGCCGAAGGCAGTTGCTTAACCAACTGAGCCACCCAGGCGCCCTCCTCTAGCATTTAAAGCAGAAATAGAACCAACTCTGCTCCCCAGAAATTGAACTTTTGTGTTTTTTTTTTTAATTGTTTTTTGTGGCCTGTCTTTAGAAAAGCAAACCGGATGTTGAGTTGGGCTCACGTGGACTGCTTTAGCTGTGGTGAATAGCCAGAGCTTCCCATTTTAATATGCACATGCCTCCTTTCTTTCTCCCCAGTGGGGCTGGCAGAACTTCTGCTGTACATGACCCAAGCCACCCCATTTCACTGCCTATGAGCTCAGAGCTCTCTGTGTAAAAAATAAAGAAGTAAGCGAAAGGAAGGCAGGATGGCCGGCTGCTGACCATGCTCCCACAGCCTTCTGGACCCTGGGAGTTGGGCTCACACATGGTCTGGTGTCTCAGGGACAGGTCTGGTGTTTATTGTGGAGAAAGACTGCTGGGGTTCACACTCTGGTGTTGTCCTTTCCTAGCTGTATCACTTTAATTTCCCTATGCCCTGGTTTCCTCACTTGTGAGCTGGGGTTAATGGTCTCTGCTCCACAGGGTGCAAGGATGAGATAAACTAATAGACGGGAAGGGCTGATGGTTAGCGCCATATAAGTGTCAATCCAAGACAATGGTGATGATGACAGTGATGCTGGTGGTTGATGATGGGGATGATGGGGATGATGATGGGGATGATATGATGGTGATGGTGATGAAGGTGGTGATGATGGTGATGCTGGTGGTCATGGTGGTGACAGTGGTGGAGATGGGCCTCACAGCCTTGGCTGCACCATGTCCTGAAGCTGCTGCTAACTGCCAGGATACAGCCAGAGGATTCTGACCCCCATCTCTCAGAACCAGTTCTAGCTTCATTCTTTCCAACCTGACTTTAGCTGTGGAACACACACGGGACTGTAATGTAATAACATTCCATTTTATCTCCTTGGAGGCATTTTTCTTTTTTCTCTTTTTATTTTTATTTGCATTTATTCTGCAGAACTTACTCCCGGGCCATAAGTTTTTGTTTCTTCAGTTTCTTCTGGGATATCTTTTTCTTCTGTGCAACCTCCTCTTCTGGTTTAGGAACAATCTGCTCTTTTTCAGTAAGGATCATCTCAATGTGGCAAGGAGAGCTCATGTATGGGTTAATCCGACCATGAGCCCTGTACGTTCTACGCCGCATCTTGGGGGCTTTGTTCACCTGGATGTGCTCAATGACTAGAGAATCAACATCTAAACCCTTAAGTTCAGCATTACTCTCTGCATTTTTAAGCATGTGCAGTAAAAATTCAGCACTCTTCTTGGGCCACCGACCCTGTGTCCAGCCCCACTGTTTGGCCTGGGCACACCTACCAACTCCACCATTGTAGCGACAGAATGGCACACACTGCTTCTGTAAAGTGACGTCTTTCAGATACTTGGTGGCTTTTCGGATATGCATACCCTTGATGGCCTGGGCAGTTTCACGTGTGTTCTTTTCAGAATGGGGGGGCGGGAAATTCACCGGAACACGTGACACAACTCTTAGAACGTAAAAGTTGGTTCCCATACCTTAAAGTGAACACGAAGATTTGAACCTCTTGATTTACATGATTTCGTAGGGTTTTCTGGGTCAAGCGAATAGCGAACCATTTTCAGAGGTCACCTCAGGCCGCTTAGGGGAAGAGGAGGAGTCATTTTTCTTAAATTAAAGAAACACGTATAAGGAATACAGTAGTGGGCTCTACTTACAAACCAACAAGATGTGTGCACACTTCAGTAAATTAAACGATGACGTGAATTATGAAAAGACCCGCTGCTTGGTCCTTTTCAGTGCCCCAGTGCATTTTGAATTGACAGAATCTTTGGGTTGCAGACATTTCCAAGCACATGTCTTTTGAAGGAAGTTAAGAACACTTGTGCCTGTTTTTGTTTTTATTTTTGGAAGGGAAGGAGAATTCATTCATCTCATTCCAAGTAGAAGGAACTCTGATGTGTTGGGACAGACACTTTGACCTTTGTTATTGTCATAGTAATTTATTAGGTGCCCAAACACAATCATAGTCTTGCTGAAAGAGTAAACCATGGTGAGGTGGGTGCTGGAGGTGAAGGAGCAGGGCAGCAGGCATAAGCGGAATGCTTCTGAAGCTCCTCAGTATCATCCGTGTGGCCAGGGCTCCAGAAAGCCTTTAGCTGAATGGTTTCCATCAGAGGATGTTCTTCTGACTTTTACTTACTTAGGAAACCTGGACCGTGTGGCCTGGCCAGGGCAACAGGCAGGCTTTGACATATACACCCCTCCCCCTTCCTAAGCTCTGTCAGTGGCTTCCTGGAGTCAGGACCCAATATAGTCCCTCTCCTCTGCTGCCCTGGGGGCCACACCCTTCTCTTCACTTGGTCTTCTAAACATGCTCACTTGGGAGATTGAGTGGCTCTTTTTTTTTTTTTTTAAAGATTTTATTTATTTATTTGACAGAGAGAGACACAGCGAGAGAGGAGCACAGGCAGGGGGAGTGGAGGGGGGAGAGGCAGGCTTCCCGCCAAGCGGGGAGCCCGATGCGGGGCTCGATCCCAGGACCCTGGGACCATGACCTGAGCCGAAGGCAGACGCTTAACGACTGAGCCACCCAGGCGCCCTGAGATTGAGTGGCTCTTAAAAGATCTGGGTCTGGTCTTAGAGGAAAGAACAGATGGAGTTCACACAACAGTGACTCCCATTGGCTCAGGAGGACTTGGTTACAGCTGGGTGATGGGGTGATTGCATCATGGTTAAAGGATTTGAAGGGGACTAGGATATGCCACTCCAAAATATACCACTTTGGCATGAGGATTATTTTGAGCTGGAGACAATTGAGAATCCTCAGATGCAGAAGTAATCCTTGTTGGAGCTTTCCTTATCTGAGCATAAGAAGCAACTTCTGGGAAATAAGGCTGCCATAAATTCCTTCTTTAGGGTGGGTCTACTCCCAAAGGGGATACCACAAATAAAACCTATCCTAAATCCCTTCTCCGGGGGAATTTTATGGCCCTAAAAGAGACAAAAAGGCTGCTTATACCTGTATAGACAACTGTTACCACAAACTTCCTTATATCTCAGTTATTTTCCTGAAACACATGTGTCTTTCCTAAAGAAACCTATTTGTTCTTTTTTTCTTAAAAGATTTTATTTGTTTGTCAGAGAGGGAGAGAGAGAAGAAGAGCACAAGCAGGGGGAGCGGCAAGCGGCAGGAGAAGCAGGCTCCCTCTTGATCAAGGAGCCTGATGTGGGACTCAATCCCAGGACCCCGGGATCATGACCTGAGCCAGAGGCAGACGCTTAACTAACTGAGCCACCCAGGCGACCTGTTCTTTCTTTAAAAAGGATGATTTCTCTTGGGGTGCCTGAATGGCTCAGTCCGTTAAGCATCCAACTCTTGATTTCGGCTCAGGTCCTGATCTCAGGGTTGTGAGATTGAGCCTTGTGTTGGGCTCCACACTCAGTGGGGAGTCTGCTTGTCCCTCTCCCTCTTCCTCTAGCCCCCCCAAATAAATAAATCTGAAAAAAAAAGAAAGGATTTTCTTCCCCTCTTCCTTTTTCTTACTAAGTTAGGTATATAAACATCTAATTGAAACTTCTGGTCCAACTGCTTTTCTTGGCTCCCATGTACACATAACTAAACTTTTTTCTTTTGTTAATCTGTTGCTTGTCAGTTTAATTGACAGGCCCCTGTCACAGAACGTAAGAGGCACTCCTGCAGCCTTCTTCACAGAGGCTCCCAAACTTGGCCAGACATCCAGGTGGAGTGAAGGAATGGGAGTGGAAGACATGTGGGGGGTGGGTGCTGGGACCAAGGACCCCTCCACCCTCCATCTGCCTCTTTTCCCCTTAGGTGTGACATTGTGCTCACAAAACTCAGCAGAATGAGTGGAAAGATCAATATTGCTCATCATCTCCTTGGCGGACATCATCATGTTGTGAAGGTGAGTGAGAAAAGAGGCCCCAGCTGAAGGCAGGTGGGGACCCATGCAGCAGGCCAGGATGTGCACTTCTATAGGGTGGGTGGCTCATCATGGCCTTGGGTGGCTATTGGATATTGGAAAATTTTAAAACACACACACACACACACACACACACATTTAGTTTTTTCTTATGTTTGGTTTAAATCGGGTTCACAATGTCCCATGTAAGAAATGAAAGGGGGATTTGCCACATGTCACTACTGTATCCCACACTTGTCAACTCCTTGGTGCTCAGAGAAAATTGGGAACCCCTCATTGCCTGGGCCGGCAGAGACACCAGCAGCTCAGGCAGCTGCACCGAGCTTCCAGCCTCAGGAGAACTGGGAGTGGGGCAACGCTGTGTAGAAGCAGCCATTTGAACCTCTGCCTGGAGGCCACACCCCAACCCTCTTTCCTGGCTAGACAGACGTGTGCTCACATGGCTGGGAGTATTTAACATGAGGAGCTTGCAGGTGTGAGTGGTCATACCTATATTTTCACGTAGGTACAGAAAAACATAGTTTCTCTATTTTGGGTAGCTCCATTTAAATCATGCTGGTGTTTCAGGGACAGACACTTTAGAATGGCAGAAATTTAAAATGCAAAGTGCTGCAACATGGCTCTTAGAGTCTCATGTGCTGAGAGCGTGTCTGTTGAGGGTTATGTGGCCCTGCTTTTGTGGAAATGAATCCAAATGGTCTATCGTAGGCAGAGAACTGAAGGAACGTGGAGCCCACTGTGCAGGGAACTGGTGGCACAACCTTGAAGTGGTAGAAGGCATCTTTTGTGTTTGGTATTTGTCACTATTTTAAGCATAAGAGTGACATCTGATATCGTTACATGCTGTCCGTCTTAAGCAGAAACCATTTTTCCCTTCGCACGAGGATGAAGTTTGGTCTTAAACACTTCTCCGGGATTTCAGGTTGCAGTGGGCTTCCGTTTGGATGGTTTGGATAGTTTATGTTACTCTGGCTCAAGATGTCAACCTGGCCTCTGGGCCATTGCTCATATAAGTTCTATGATAATTGAGATCCATTTCTTCCTGGAAAAAATAAACTGTATGATAACATCCTTTGATGGAATACCCAGGAGAACATCAAAAAACTGAGATGGTCCCTCCTGCTTGTTTCCCAGCATTGACCAAAGGCTGCTGTGCCTAGCACAGCCTGTTGTTCTCCAGGGCAGGCTGTGCTGGAGGGTCCCGAGAGCCTTACACCGAGTGTCAGGGAACCCACCTGCACCCAAACCCTGCCCAGAACCCCCTACATTCAGGGGCTCAAGAAAGACAAGCAGAAACAAAACAATCCACTTTAATAATGCATAAAGGGCTTAACAGACATTTCCCCAAAGAAAATATACAGATGGGCAGCAGGACCCTGAAAAGATGCCTAGCACAATATAAATCATACCACTTGACACCCGCTACGGTGATTATAACAAAACAAAATGGAAAGCAACAAGTGCTGGTGAGGAGGTAGGTACGCTGGAACGCTCACACACTGCTGGTGGGGAGGAAAGATGGTACAGCCACCATGGGAAGCAGTCTGGCAGCTCCTCAACGGGTTATCACCTGACCCTGGAATTCTACTCCTAGGTGCACATCCAAGAGAATTGAAAACAGGGGCTTGACAGATCCTTGTACACCAAACAAGATTTTTTTTTTTTTTTGCATATAGCAAGTTATTAATCTGCCATCTTGTCATCTGTGCTAAGTCTTCCCATTGGGTGTGTTTCAGACTCGAAACAAGATGTTTTGTTTTTTTTTCATAGTAGGGTTCATAGTAGGTCTAGTCACAGTAGCCAAAAGGTAGAAACAACCGAAATGTCTGTAGATGGATGGATAAGCAAAATGTGGTCTGTCCACACAGTGGAATTTCATTTGCCCATAAAAAGGAATGAAGCTCCGACACATGCCACAACATGGATGAGCCTTGAGAACATTATGCTCAGTGAGATAATCCAAACTCAAAGGGCCACATATCGTATGAGTCCACTTACAGGAGATGCCCAGAACAGGCAAATCCACGGAGAGAAAAGAAGATCAGTGGCTGCCAGGGTCTGGGGAGGGGGTCAGGGAGAGCCCACTGAAAGGCATGGGGTTTCATTTTGGGGTGATGGGAAAGTCTGACACTAGATAGGGCAATGGTTGCACAGTAGGAAAGAGTAAAACTTGTTGCCCTGACTGAGTAGGGGCGGGGAGGGGAGGGCATCAACGGGGGTGGGAAGGAGGATGTGGCTTGGAGAGGCGCAGCTGAGCACCTGCCTTTCTCCATCTGTCCTTCTTGCGAGTTCTTACAGGCCAAGAGCTGCCAGCTGGAGGCTTGGAGGAGACACCCCATCTCCCCAGGACAGGAGGAGGCTGGGAGGCGTAAACACGAGCCCATCTTTGTGTTCAGGGACACAGTGGTCCAGGAGCCACGTTACGGCCCAAAGCCTTTGCACGTGGCCTTTCTTAGGGCGGGTTGTGCTGGAGGGAGCTTCATGCAGCTGTTAGACCCCGTCCCAGCAGAATCCCTGGAGAATTCCAAATTTCAGTCACACTACATTTTTATTAAGAGCTTTCACCCAGAGAAAATGATGGAATAGATTTTATTGTTGGAAAGAAGCCAGATAAAATTAGATGCCTCTTGTCGCCCCACCACCCACCCCTCACCTCTCTGTTCTTTTCTGAAATTTATCTCTTGGTTCCTGGCTGGTAGGTACCCAGGGGTGTATATTCACGAAAACAGGGATGCACAGTTGCTTCCGTGAGCTTCCCTGTTTTAATTTCAAGGGTGATTTTGCTTTTGCTCCAACAGACTTCTGTTCTGGAACAGCTTTGGGCCTTGGGGCTCTGTGTTGGGTATGTGTGTGGTTTCTTTTTTTCTTTTAGTAAAGCTTGTAGGAATTTTATAGCTGCAAACTGGTAGAATATTTTGCCTCACAGAAGAAGTTAATCTGATTTCTCACGTCTTGTGTCTTCTCTCCAAGTTCTTGTTCTTGGCAAAGCTAACCTGCTGTCTCATCCTCTTAAATAGAATTGGGTTTGCCTCCCAACAGCCACTTTTGAGCAAAACCAGGTTCTGATAGTCTGCTATCTTCTGTTACCAATGCGTGGATAGTGAATTTTAAGAATAGCTATTATTTCTTACCAATGCAGGAAAGGAAAGAGTATCCTGCATGAAAACTAGGGCTTCCATCCGTCCAGGGGAGCTGATAGCTCATTACTGGAAAATGTCCAGGGACAGACCGCTGAGCTGGTCACGGGTTGCAGAGGGAGCTGTGGGGGTTGGTGCCATTCATGTGGGTGGTGGTTTCTTTAAATTTAATTCTGTGTGGAATTCAGCAGAGACCTTGAGCAGATTTTGGGCAGCCTCAGCCTACACCTCCCAGATCTTCAGTGGATGGTGTGGGAGAGGGCATTACAGAGTGGGAGGGGCCGGCGGCGGCAGGTGGCTTCTCTGGGCACGCCTGGCACCGACAGTCCCCTTGAGTGTGGAAGGAGCCTGTGGTTGGGGGCCCACCGGGGTCCGAGGGGCTGGTCACACACAAACTGGCTTTCACAGGGATGAAAACCTCCTCTGTCTCTCCGGGCCTTTCTTTCTGTGGTGCCAATCTTGGGTTTACAGACACACGGACACCCCTTGGAAGGGTTTTCCTTCCACTCCTCCCCTGAGTTTTGATGTTGTCCCACAGGTGCTCCCTGGGCAGTTTAGGACAGTTTTAATGGTTTCTTGATGCCATCTCAAGGTGACATTACCCAAATCCCTTGGAACATTTTTGGGACTGCGGATTCAGGGGACATTAGTGAAGAGCTAGAGGCGGAGGGGCCTGGACCACGGAACTCGGCAAGTGGGGTGTGATCCTCCGGCTGCCCCGTGGGCTCTGGACCAGACCTCAGAGCCAACGTCTGGTCACGGTGGCCATTTTAAGAGCCATTCTATTGCCCCCTGGGCCAGTGGTGGCCGTGGGTGGTTTTGTTTCGTTGTCTGTCACTTGCCATCTACGCTGGGTGTGGTTAGGAGCTGGGCTGCCCATCGTGGTGCTGCCGGACACCGTAGCCACTGCGACCTGGGCGAGTGGCTGGCCCGGAGTGAGGTGCTTCGAGTCTGAAACACACCCAATGGGAAGACTTAGCACAGATGACAAGATGGCAGATTAATAACTTGCTATATGCAAAAAAAACCCCAAAACATCTTGCTATATGCATGACGTGGTGAAATGGTAGTGTTTTAGATAGGCCTGTTTAAATGAATCGTTAATTTTATGTTTCCTTTTACTTTTCAAATATGGGCAGCTACGAGAAAACTTAAAAGTTGAAGGGCGCCCAGCCAGCTCAGTTGGAGGAGATTGCGGCTCTTGATCTCGGGGTTGTGAGTTCCAGCCCCATGTTGGGCATAGAGATTACTTAAAAATAAAATCTTAAAAAAGGAAGTTGAATCTGTAGCTCACAGGGTAATTCTTCTGGATGGAGCCCTGCCACAGCCCACCTTCTTGGCACACACGTGCACACGCATGCACACACACACACCATCACACAGACAACACGTGCAGACACGCACACACACATGCACGTGTGTGTGCCTGCAGATACAAATGGAACACAGTGCACAGTATATGCATGCACATGAGTGCTCACACACCCGTGCATCCCTCTCAGGACAGGATGATTTCCAGCTAACACCTGGGCAGTGGGGGCCTCAAGGCTGCTGGAGGGGCAGGGAAATGACAGACTCGCAGTCACAACAGGGAAAATGGGGCTGTCCCCTGTCCTGATTGTCTGCATCAGTCACCTGTCCTGAGAATGCTGTCCTGCAGGGCGTTAAACGTGTGTGGGAGCTTCGGACAGTGACTGCCCAATGGACGTCAGACGTACCAGGCCCTTTCACCCCCAACTCTCCCTGCTGCCACTTCTCCAGGATTCAAAACAAATTGATTTTTTTTTACAGTTCCTTTTCTTTTTTTAAAAATGAGATGAAATGCACATAAAATTACCCACTTAA